GCACAACCATGAACACGATATCATCACTTCATCACCTGCCAAAAGACAAATTTATGTGCCCACAGCAGAAGTATAACAGCATGTATCTGGTTGTTTATGACAGCATTTGTAGGGTGCAGATTACAGAACATGAGCCACCTAATGGACCCAATCTTTCTCTAAGAATACATTCATATACATTAGATTGATTTCTTTAAGTAACCAATTCGTTTTGATACCACCAATCTCAGGTAATAATTCATATCAAGACTATTTAATGAGGCCATTTAGAAACCCACATCTGAATTATGAAAAACCTTTATAATTGACGACATTTGAAATATTTGTTTCTTATTGTACTTTCTTTGTAATTGTGATAAGCATTTGTTTGTCCACTGGTGACAGTCAGTCCCACTTTCATGACAGTCCAGGAAGAGTGGTGACCACTGTGGCAAAGCTAATGGGGATTAACTATTAGTCAAAGCCATCTCAAACCACATGATTGGGTTTCACAACCTAATATTTGCTCAGCATTATCTACAAAAGAGTTTATGCTCCATCATGCTGCATTGTTTGAGTTGAGTTACAGTCAACCAGGATGTATGTTTAAGCTCAGTTTCTCTCAAGGTAGATCCTTTTATAATCTGCACCTTTTCCTGGTAGATGCTATTGTGATTAAGATTATAACAACATATACCATCAAGACAATTTGGGGATTTCAGCACAGAAGAGAAGGCGGTGTCCTGTGGGAGTGGGGGGGCTGAGCACCAGAGTTTCCATCTCTTTGCAGAGAGAGAGAGAGACCCATTACGCCTCTCCTCCATTTCCTCTCTCAGAGGCAGGAACCAAATGGACACATTAATAACACTCTCCAAGTCTGAGGGAGCTAATGGTGCCTTGAGTGCTGATTAAGGCAGGGAAGAATTGGGCTTAGCAAAGTATTAGTTTCATTCTCCTCGCTGGCTGTTGTGGTGAACAAATTGGAGCACAGACCGCACAGCGTTTGGAAAGCTGCTAATTGGTACAACCCTTTGGCACATGTAATTAGGTGCTGGAGCTTTTTTGCTTCGTGAGGAAACATTGTTGGAGCCTTAATGTAGTTTTTGTTTTTTTTACGGTTTTGTTGATTTACTTTCACATGGATGTATTGGCTGCATTATATAAATATGTATTAAATTGTTTATTTCTTCTTGCCATTAACTATTAGGGACCGGTGTATTGGATCCATAATATAGTTTTTGGTTATCCTTTTCTAAAACTTTGTCACCATATGTGTGCATATACAGTTCTGACATTGATCATGCGGTGGAGAATTAGGAATGAGGTAAGTTTTTGACATAAATGTGGTGTCTTTTAACAAAACAAATACAGGTTAAACTTGTTTCTGACACATGTTCCCGCACACTGTATGTAGCATAGGTACCAGCAATGTTCATATTTAATCACTATGATGTTTCCATTCAGCAAATTCACAGAAGCACGATATGCTGCCACACACACGGTCAAAAACTCTTTGCCTCCTGTACGACATACCTCATATAGAACTTAGCTATAAGCACTTTCTAGATCAATGCTCTACCCGTGTTCAATGTCAGAACGGTGACAGTGTTTTAGATGATAATAATACAAAAAACATTATGGCTCCAACAAACATGTTTCTTGTCTCTCTACATACCTGAGTAGTTTTGCCTGTGTGAAGTGATGTTAATTCTTTGTGTTGGGCTCTGCACTGGGTGGATCTTACTAAAATAACCTGAGCAAAAAACCTACACTGCCTGTTTGGCTAGTTTTAATGGAAGCGCAAGCCCACATAGAACATAACAACAGTCATTTAAAAGCATGTTTAGTTTCTAATTTCAAAAGCTTTTCCATGTTACATGAACATGCAGGGACATTTGGAAATCTAAATATCAACTCGTGTATATATGTGATAGTAATGGGATAAACAAGTCCCAGTAAAAGTGCTGAGAAATACATTTTCCTTTCCAACAAAGTCCAGGAATCACTGCATGCAACACAACAAGTTGTTTTCACCCTGGAGTCAAAGGGTGGAATAGAGTTTTTTTTATCTCCTGGGATTAGTCAAATGTGTTCCTGCTCGTGCCCGGATTTGGATTTATCACCCATACTTCACTGAGGCAAACCCTCAAGGAGTAGAGAGAGCCAGGTGTCACAAAGTCATGATTTTTGATGAAGCTTCTGCTTCAATCAGACCATCCGGTTCCTTCCTCATCGTCATGTTGCTTCGACACCTCTGACTAAGGCGAGCTTCACTCATACTGCAGTCACAGTATGTCAGGTTTAATCAGATTGAGCTCCTCATCAGACACAGTGAGGTCCCCATGTACCAGAATATCCAGAAGGCCAGGCTGAGGAAGATCAGCAAAGGTCCGGAAAACACAAAAAAGTCCCAGAAACTCAAAGGTGCAATGATCCCAGTGAGCAAGAGGATGAGGCCAACGATGTCCAAAATCACAGCCAGTGACAAGAAGACGACGGTGCCCCTCCTCTGTGCCATGATCGCGCTGGGTGAGACAGGAGAGGTGGATGTCGTCTGAACGTCTGACAGGAGTGAGAGCAACTCTCTCCAAAAAGGGCTTTCCTATTTCCTAGATAATTCTTTTTCACTCAGCACACCTTACATTTCAATCATATCACAAGACTTCCTGGCAAGTCTGGTATCCAACCACAACAACAGGTTGTGCTGCTCATTAACAACAGCTGAAAGCCCCACAGACCATCTTCATTCCTCTGTAGGGCCGACTTGTTTTGTACCTTTCCAGTCATTAATGTGACACATCAACCCATTGTCTGTAACCTGCGTGACAGATTTATGCACATATATTTCATAATCAGCCAGCTAATGAATCCAAAGTTATCCAGGGCTGCATCAGTGTGTTGCATCTTTCATCAGGTCGTTCAAAGCTTCCCCTTGACTTCACTCACACTGAGTTCAGAGATTAAATACATTTACCCTAGTGTGGGGGAAGCTCTGCAGTGTGGACGCACTACATTCAAACGTTCCCTAAATATTTAACATTCTACGGCATCATCATGCATCACTACAACAATGATAATAATGATAGCTATTGTGAAGTGACTGTCACATATAGAGGAAATGCATATCATGGAAACTTCTCTTTAAGAACCTTGTTTGACCAGTTAAGCTGCCACTATTTGTCACTGCTCTGCAGCTTTAACTTACTCTCCTGCGTAAGTGGGCAGGTGTACACAGCAGTGACGAAATATGTTTTATTTCCTGTAATGTTGTCAGGAGTTTGAGTGCCTTAGGCTTTCAGTCAGGCTAACTTTGAATTAAAAGCCATTTCACCTGTTATAAATTATACCCTGGCAGGACTGTGACATTGGCAAACGATGCAACTCCAATCTATGGATCAGGCTCTGAGGCTACTATTCCCAACATGTAATTAATAGAGACGTTAATAGGCATCTTATATATACAGTTACATGGGGCCCTAAGGCACACATGACCTTCTGTTGAGGAATTTTACTTTTGTTTAACCAACACCACACCACAGAGACAAACCAGTCTGACCAGTGTTTAAGTAGCTTTGACAGCAAATCAAAGAGCAAACATTACTTGGCTTTACTCTGTGTGGTAGCAGCTGCAATGTGTATAAAATATGTTACATGTATTTGGAACATGTACTAAAGCATTAGTGATATATTAAGCTGAAAGGATAGGAGAATATCAATGGAGTAACATTTCCTCTTGTTGGATGGACACGACAGAAGATTTTCTAAGAAGACAAACTTTAGTTACAGTTTACATGCTTTGGCATTGCAGGCTTATGAACAGGACCATGGCCACTGCTACTGATCACACACTGATCTGTATTCAAGTATTTGGCATATTTAATATACATCAATACACTTTTGACCAAATAAATAAATAAAGCTGGGCTGGACTAACCTACCAATGGGTCCAGGGCTGAAAACCAGTTGTTAGCCCATATTGGCTTCCATGTTTTCCCATTCTCTGTGCATGAGTTAGTATTTAAAAATGAGCTTGAGTTAATTATAAGCACAACTTTATTTCTTAAAATTTACCATGTAAGCACAATGTAAAAAGAAATAATAAAGGTCCCAGAACTAGATTTTAACTTGAAACCTTGACCTGGCCTCAAAATTAGATTAGAATAATTAAGTGTTGCCTTGAGGTCCTTGTCATTTTAGGTTATAATGTGCTTGAGTGGTGAATACAATATTAATTAACAGATTTGGAAATTAATTAAATTATCATAAACTAATTGCCACATGGTGAACTTGGATGCTTTGGCCCCCTAAGAGTCTGGGGCATCTGGCAGTTGCCCTTTTTGGTAGTCTGGTTGGTAATCCAGCCTTGCCTGGCAGAGTTGAAAAACAGTGTTTTGAACTTAATGTTTGGAAATAAAATGTACATAAAATACAGCTCAATGAATAAAATAAAATACAAAAAGTCCACATTTTCAAAATAAGTTCCTTAGAAGTGTCTTGGACATTTATGTAGCCTATAATTTGGTCACTTCCTCATTTCAAACCAAGTTATAATTCATCCATTAGTATTTTGTTAATGGAAAATTATTCTTAAATGTTAAATTGTATTCTTTCCCGTAGACCAATTTCACATTTATGGCGTGTTCAGCTGACCTGCTGTGAGCTGACTAAAATACACTCTAGGTCACACTAGCAATTTATTGGGATTGATTAATTGTACACCAAGGGAACACTCCTTTTAAATAGTACCACCTTATTTCCGGGATTGTTAGGAAATTTCACACCTGTAAAATAAAGTGACACAGAAAATGAAAACATAGAGACTTTTTAGTGTCAGTTCCAACTTTTCGAGGGAGAACTTGGACCACAGTAGCCCTTTTTGTAAAATCGGGCCACAGCTCTGCCTGTGGACATCATCACTGTAATATGAGAATCTGCTTTCAGCCATTAAGTTTTGCCAACGCTGCCAACAACCATAATATTCAGCATCCTTCATTAAATAGTAAAGTCTCTGCTGCAGCAAATTTAGTTGAAATGATATTTATCAAAGCAGACATGCCCACACTCAACCCACAGAAAGAATATTTTTATATGAAGGTACCCATTCAGGTGGTGCTCATTTAGATCTCCTGTTTTTCTCCTTTTTCTTTCTCCATAGTGATGAGTCCAGACTGCCATCATACCCCTCATTGTGGTAGGCTGTTGACCTGCCCCACGTCACCCTGCTGGCTTTGTGTGGAGGTGACCCCACCTGACTGCAGTCCTCATCCTCAACACATTTCACACGTTCTTCCCCTTTGAGCTTCTGGCTTAACTTCGTGGATAAAGCCCTGGCCAGCTTCACGATACTGCTCGTCTGCTTAAAGCCGTCGTCCTCCGATACAGGGATGTTCCCCACGTACCACATAAGCCAGCAGCCCAGGCTGAAGAAAATGAGCAGTGAGCCGGAGTAGATCAAGAAGTCGCCATAAAAGCGGCCGTCGATGCGCAGATTGGCGAATATTCCGAGTAAAAGGAGAATCAGACCAATAACGTCAAATACGATTGCGCTCAAAAATAGATACACGCACCCACCTAAACACTTTAGCAGGTCCATCGTGGAAACAATACTGCTGCTTACAGCTTGTATAACGGGAGGATGCCTCATCCTGTGTACCTGAGCGGAGGCAGCGCACCTGTAGAGAAACGCCCCACCTTAAAGTGAAGGTAAACAAGGGTTTTCCCCAGTGCTATTCAATGTAAATATGACTTAAACACACAGACAAATAGTCGTCTTGAATAGGCAGTTTCCTTTTAGGCCTAGGCTATATGTTGTCCTTTAGCCTATGAAAACCGAACCGTCCAAAAGTCAAGTCTACAGTGATGCGTTCTGGATGCCTTGATGTAAATGACACCAGGCGCTCATGACGTTTTAATCTATAATTTGACATTCAAATTGATCTTCAGGGACACGGAGTTATAGTAGGCCTACAGCCCATGACGGTGATGCACAGACACTGTAGTATTCTTTATTGTAGGCTGTGTTTATTGCACCACCACTATTTTACATAGTCTGGCCTGTCCTGCTGGGCTACTGTGTGTTCTCTTCCTAATTTGTTAGGCTAATTGATGTTTATTTGCACCATCAGATAGGCCTATTGGAGATTAACCCCTTCATATCTGTTTCTTTCTACAGCTTTCAACAAGAAATGTGGAATAACAAATAAAAGTTCTATGAGAAAGGTTTACTTGCAAATAAGAAAACACTGAATGCAATTTAAATATAGAAAAAACAGATCTGCCTTTTCCAAAAAAAGTCACTTAGCCTAAAAAAACAAGCTGCTGGTTACTGCATTATATACGATAATATTTTTTCTAATCTGATTTGTCATGGCCACCTGAAAATATCGCTAGAATGCAGGAAATTAAGAGTTTAATGCTCAAAATCTTTTGGGGGAGGACCCCCAGACCCCCAATCGAAGATTTCACCAATGAATATTTCTTCTAAATAGTACTGGAGTATCTTCTTGTCTTGTTCTACTGATTCCAATATTGTGCATTATCACGTGGACTCAGAGTTTTACCTCACCCCTAATAGGATGTTCAGTGTCCCCACCACTTTTCAACACAAAGTGACGCCCTTGTGCACACACATAGGCAGGTATTGTTAAGCCTACATTTTGTTATTTTATAATAAAAACTGTCTTGTTGGCAAATTTCTCAATACTAAGTATTAATTTATTTTATAACTGTTCTAAGGCTGTAACTATCATTATTTCCATTAATTATTAATCTATTTTTCTTGGTTAATTATTTGGGCCAGAAAATAGTAAAAAAGAAAAAAAAAAGCCCATTACAATTTCCAAAGCCTAATTAGACAAATTCAAATGTCAACAACAAGAAGACATAGCGTCTATTGCCTGAGGTAGGTCCTGTCTACACATACACGGGTGTATTCAAAATCGTGACTTTTTCTATGCGGTTTGGCCGTTCTTCCACACAAAAACACAGTAGGTCGTTGTTTGAAACAGCAACGTGTAAAAGAGTAATTGTTTTGTGGTCCACAGGAACAATTAGGGGCTGGAATGTTAGAGCCAATTAGAAAATATGGTTAATCTTTTGGATAATTTTGTATTCATAAGTTATGTTAATTTTCCTTTATGTATTTCACTTGATAATGTTTAATGTTTGTCTCAGATGAATGTCATTAGTGTGTATTTAGCTAATTAATAAGTGTAGCTGTGCTCCATTAGTTTGTCCTGTTAATTCATGTGTCGTAAAATGCAGCTAAGTGTAGTTAAAATGAAGTGAGAGCACCTATTGGCATGTGTTGTGGCAAAAAGGTCAGCTACGCAGGACATTGAGCTTTCTGACTGTATATAGCGTCGCGTATAGCAATGGGAAATTTTACCTTTCCAATGTTAAAGCGCCTCCTCGACAGTGTTTATCCTCTCTGTATTAATTTAGCACATGTGGTGCCTGAGCAAGCTCCTGGTCGTTGAACTTCTTTTTTCACTCTCTGTTCAGTCTTCTGACTTTCTCCTCTTTGACTGTTTGTTGAACATGTTTCTCCATTGCCGTTAGCATGTGCCAGATTTACCGTCCCTCTCACTCCCACTACCCCATGTCTTGTTCAAGAGCACGAACGCCACCTGTTGCCAGTTGGCTGGAATAGTGTTGTGTGGTTCGGTCCGAGCCACTTTAAATCTTTAACCTTTTACAGAGCTAGGGCTGTGGACGAACACAGAGAACAGACAGCTGGATTTGCCAAAAAGTGCATTGGATTTGCTTCATCTTAAAAGGTGGCATAAGATGAACTAATCAAATAATCGTCTCAGCTCTAAGATGTTTAAAGGCCAGTTAGGGTTCTGATGTCTTCTAAACAGACTTTCTTGAAACCCACAGCACATATCATGCTCACGTCAGGTCAAACATCTCATGGGCCAAGTGGTTGAGGGATTTCATCTGGAGGATTCTCAGATGTACTGTAGTGTACTGTATATGGCCTACAATAACCAAAATTACATTCTCAATATTAACTTGATATCAAAAATTTGTATTCCTTGTTAAAAAAAACATAATTTACAACTGAAAGATGCTTCAGGCTCTGTAGAGCCGAGCAGGTGATGATTCTCTGTGGGTTTGTCACTGTGGGAAATCCTTTTAAAATACAACAGTGATCGTAATTGTGATTATTTTGTTTCCTTGTGTAAGCATACTGTAATTATTGAACAACAGTTAGTTAGTTAACTTTAACATTCATGCCAATAAAGCGTATTCAAATTTTAAAAACAATTAGCCATGCTATCCATTCCATATTGATTATAGCTGCTTTAAATACAATCTACCTGCTAGCTAGTCCAAAGTCTAATTCTAAGAGCTTTTCCGATGGCTGAGACTGAATATTTTATGTCCACTGTGATGGACTCTGGATCTGAAGGGGTTAATTAAAATGTCCTGCCTCATAATATTTAAATCCTATGAAAATGTGCTTTCAGGTCACAGTATTCAAATTGTTTCCCTTTACATACATTTGAGGGTGAATGCATTTAGATTCAAAGTGTCCTTCAGTGACTCAGTTCCACAATAAGTATTTCAGTGGAAACACCACAACACAGTAAACTGGGATGTGAAAATTATAAGCTCTCACAACTTTTAATTATTCATGAATTGGCATATACTGTACCACACAGCATTAGGAAATCCCCCTTGTCCACTTTTCCCTCATGAATATTCATAAGGACAGTTTCCTATTGTAGTAACCTTGCTAAACTGTGTGTGAATAATTGCATTTTATACAGCACATTGTTGTCCTTGTGCTCTCACCTTCTTTTCGACAGCCATGGTTATAGATGCAAATGTTGTCATGCACACTTGAGACTGAAATACGTGTTTAGTGTAGTCAATCCTGGGAAATCAGAAAAATCAACATAAATGTCACCAAGCAGAGTCTGTAAATAATTAGCTTCCACAGAGGCTCCCATGCTGAAAGGATCATATCAATCCAAGTTTCTCACTTTCAAACATGAAGTTTGTGACAAAATGTCAACACCCGTGTGATCACAGATTGAACACCGGAGGCCTGTAGTAACTGGGGGGCTTCTTCATATTTGACTGCTTCCTGTTCTCCTTGGTGATGGGGATGAGGACCACACCCACCACAAAAACCATCAGCCCAATGGACAGCAGTGCCGGTCCCAGGATGGTGGTGATCTTCCTGCAGTGGCCAGCGAAGTACAGGCCGCTGATGATAATGCCGCATGCCAGGAAGGTTCCCCCGGTGGACATGAGGTGTATGGGGAACCAGAAGACTTCACACTTGCTGCGAGGGATCTCTGTGGTCCATAGGGTCTCGCTGCGGGACAGGCTGAACACGGTGCTCTCTGTGCGGCTCGGGGGCGTCAGCTGGTCCCTGGACTGGGAGAGGGTGCACTCTCCCAGGGGGATATTCTCTGGGCTGTCTGGCATGGCCTCCTGGATGACTCTGTAGAAATAATGCGGAATATGAATCAGTCTGTGAGGGAAGTCACGTCTCTCTGAGGTCTATCTAATTAAGTTAGGTCTAATGGGTTTCATAGTAAAATCCGAACGTTCCACAAAAATTACAATATGGGTGATGTTCGTCCCCAAAAAGCAGATAACTGTGAGCAGGAAGCCACTGTTTAATCTAAACTTTAATCATCCTGATGCTAATGGGACACAATCATTACAAAATTTGCATTCATGCTATTATTAATTGTCAGCATTATGGAAGAACCTATTTTTGCTAATAAAGTCAGGGCTGCATATGTAAATTTTCCTTAAGCCTCTACCTCTAACATATTTTTCAATTGAAGTTTAAAGCGGGCAAATGAGAAGTAAATAAGTAGTAGTAAACAACACCTACCTTTAAAATATCTTAACCATCAAAAAACACCCAGAAATCTTCAGGAGAAGCGCTAGCGCCCAACCGGAGAAACCAGCAAAATGCTTTGCTACAGATTCCCACTGAACAACCATCTACCCACCCTCCTATGCTCTCCCCACCTCTTTAAGTAAACCCTATGACAACAATCCCCTTACCATCATCTACCATCGCAGGCGGCCAGTTCTGATGTTGCATCCAGTGCGAGAAGCTTGCCTTCTGGTCCCCAGTGGATATCCATAGAACCCAAACCACTCAGGCTGATGCCTCATTTCAAAAAACTTCTACCAACAGCTTAGGTGTCGCCTTTTGTTTAAAATGCCTGAAATTTCCCAGGACTGGACAATCAGAGCAAAATATCTGCCTCAGTTTGCTGGGACTCTTTCCACTCAAAGAGCAGGGCAGGGCAGCGACTAGGAAATGGCTCTCTGTTATAGCCAGATTGATGTAACAAGCAATCACCCACACAGAGACTTTCCAATACAGCCTGATATGTTGGCACAGTATTGATTCCAAAGTACCCTGGAGCAATTATCTGCAAGTTGTAGTTTTGTCCGCTGTACATGAGATCAATAAACTCTGTGAAGTATAATTAACCCTCAGAATGGAGGAAATCATGTAGCATTTTGGACAAATTCATCTTTTTCTTTGTTTGTTTTTCATTTTGTTATTCACCTTCTAAAATGTCCTGCCTCACATTCACAGGGGGAACACAAGAGGGATGTTGCTGCAATATGACACTCCTGCTTCCATTTAACAGCCCTGATGTTATATTTGTGTCTTTGTTGCTTCATCTGCTCTTCTGGAAAGACACACGTGTCAGTATGTGGCCATTGGTCTGAACATGATCTCACTCTTTAACAAAATTACACTCCACTCCTAAGCCCAGCACTGATACTTGTACTTAGTAAACACTGGCGCTCCTGCTTGAACTCATTAGATTACTGCTGTCATCAGTTCAAAATGCACCACTGTACCATCCTGTGGTGCTACACTGGAATGAGGGAACCTGTCAATACATGCAATGAGTCACACAATCCAACAGAGGGCAGTACTGGCATGTACCTTGGCCTGTGGGCAAACTGCTGAAGTCAGTTTAGCTGTATCATTAACTTTTAGTGAAATATTTCACAGCAGGATTAGTTAATTAATCGGTTAATTCTGTATTTTTGTAATTACCGTATAGGCTGCAGCTCAAGTCTTTTATTTTGCAGCAACATGTGAGAAATTAATCAGCCATTCAATGTAATGTGCTACAGTATCTTGCGGTTATGATGTGCCTAATTCTCTTTAATGGTCCATTTAAGTGGGTTTGTATGCCATTCACTTGATCATAGTCATCTGAGGGTATTTTACACTTCTAAGTAACCCTGCTAAAGGACACGATAGACCTGCAGAGCTCCTTATAAGTGTGTGTTTGATCAAGATTAGACATGCGATATTTGGTAAAACTTCAGGAAAAAGACTTGAGCTAAAGGAGTATAAACCCATTTAAGCATTTTAGTAACATGCAGGACTTAATGTTGTACCTTAACGGTAGTTTATGTTCTGTAAGGTTTGAATGGCAGTGGGATTTGTAGTACAATTTGTCACTTAACTTATTAGTTGTTGGACAGACATGTAATTGTTTAGGCTCTTTTTTAAGCAGAAAAGCCAAATATTTCCACGTTCCTGCTTCTCAGTTGTTAGGATTTGACACTTCTCTCTCTTTTATTTGATAGTAAATGGAATATTTTAGGTTTTGGACTGTTTGTCAGACAAAAATAAATAAATAAATAAATACATGACATAGGGGCTTGATTTGAAGACTAATTGATATTTTTGAAGCTTCTTATTGTTGACACTAATTTAAATTGTTAGCAGTTTGTAAAGCAGGTTGATTTGCCTCAGTTATTCACTGGTCATCATCTATTATCATCAACTAAATGTTCAGCAATAAGTTGTAAGATACACTAGGCCTTTTAAGGATAATTAGTAGGTACAACTGGTAGGAACAAAAAGTGTTGGATTCATGCATTAGATGCCTTCAGCCGGCAGCCGTGAACCAGCTGCAGTGGCTGCAGCGTATTCCTTCGAGGCAATTGCGCTTGTTGCTTGAAAATGACTTTTCGTACCTATAATTTCAACACCAAAATATGTGAAAATAGCTTTAAAATACAGCAATTATCCTTTAAGACAAGAATTTATTTTCAAAAAACACATTTAGAAAATATAAACATGACGTACAATGTTGATTAAAATGTATTTGCAGGTTTTCCAGTCATATCTGTTGTCAAAGAGGAAGCTGTCATATCGCAGGTGGATTATTTGACTTGTTGGTGTATAAAAGTTAAAAGTTGAGCCAGTATATTGGTAAACCGACGTACAGGTATCAGTCTAATCCTATTTGATAATACAAACACAGAGAGGGTTGCCAGGGATTAGAGCTAATAAGCCTCGTCTTGAGTCAGCACGCTGAGTCTGTTGGTTTGGCAGGGGTTTTAGGACTGGATTCAAATGAACTGTGGACTGAGGTGCAGCGCGCACACCCTCCGGTTAAAGCCACCAGAACTAAGATGCTCTAACAACTCCAACCCTTGCGGTTTTTCAAGGCTGTGGATTAAACAGAAATACTTTTTGGCTAAATGAAGCCTCGCACAGAGCCTTGTTAACTCCTGAGCAAATATCAATAAAACCCGAGCAGCAACTCATCTGCAGACATTCATTCGTCTGCAGACAAATCATATTTCAGGTAATACATTGCTGATTTATTAACACATGGAGCACTTTTCTGTTCAGGTGACCTTGGGAAACTAATTAATCTGCTTTGCATATTTACGGCTTTTTGTTGAGTAATCCCAGGGGGATAGGCATGCAAACAACTGTAGCATAAAGGTTCTTTCACCCATGGAAATACAGAGGGATCTGTGATCAAACAACCTCTGAAAGGAAAACAGGAAAAGGAAAACACCCGGCATAGATACTAAAACTACATATTAGTATTTACTTTGTAGGTGTTTCTACTTCCCCTTCTCAGCAGTTTATAATGTTACTGTTTTCACCTGATTTCATGATCATTAAATAAGAGGCATCAACTTCCTCTCAAATGGCATGTACGTCGAGCAAACAAATATAGATACAGTCAAACAGCATTCCACTACCGCTTCATTCTGAGGTGCCATTTCAAACTATGTCACACTTACAGAAGTAAAGGACACAAAAAACTAAGGCAGAGATCAGACCAACAGTAGAAGTGTTGTTGAAAAGCATGTAATCCAGCAAATCATAATACAGGCCAACCCATTTGTGACGTGCCCTTCCAGACTGCCAGCAACATCAGTTGTAAGTTTCCATCAAGAAATTTCTTTTTCCTATGGTAGTCCAAATGTTAAACTTTCCTCCTTGGTGTTTATACAGTGTGTGCACCAATAATAAAGTTAAAATAAGGCCTCAGTGTCAAACCTCAGACCTTTAGTGAGCTCAAAGCTGACACTAAAGCTAACTTCCTGGTGAGGTACAGTCTATGCTTATGCCCACAGAGAAGATTTGACCTTTCAGAGGACTCAGAAAAGCAAAACCTGCATTTGGTTTTTCTGATTAATTCCAATCCTGTAGCAGGATGCCATATTTCAACAAGTTCTCTAAGCATTAGTACACATTTAAAGTGAGTTAAAAGTGTGTGAGGTTAAACTGTCTTGTTAGCGTAGTGCTTGTCTCTCAGCTGTCAAAATCCTAACAAACAATAGAGGAGATAAAGGGCGTCCTTGTCTCATACAGTACAATGCAGTACAATGCTGTAGCACAAAGTGCGCATACATCAGATAACAGTTGTTGTGCAGACAGCATTCATTGAGGACTAATAAAGTACTGCTGTTGGTGTTTCGGCATATGTATTTAAAAATAAATTAACGTATTCAAGTCTTACTTAAATGGTTCTCGGTAGGAAGTTTTGTGAGATATGGTTGTAGAAATGTTTTTGAAAATGCCTTCAGCACCTAATAACCTTATGTGGCCCGTCCATTTTTTTCCATTTCCTGTTTTGTCTCATAACTTTTGATCACTATTGTCGCCAAAAGTAAACTCAAGTCTTGGTCCTGATGAGTTCAGTTTACACAGCCTGAAGAAATATTATAGTAACACACATTTTGAATGTCACCTAATATTTTTTTATTATATCATATTGTTATATTTAAATAAATAAAACACAAACTCTAACATATTAGCCAGTCACGACACATTCCTTCTTCCTGTGCAGACAGGAAGTTTAAAGACAGAATTACAGAGTCTGAGCACTCCCTTGTTGCTGAAAAGATCAATATGTCAGTATGCCTACAATATAGTGTTTGTTCCCCTGGAGTCCTTACACAAATATAAGCACACTGTCTAATAAACTAATTCCACAGTATTAAATGGTGAGAGGCATGGTAAGTGGTAAGAGTGATGGAGAATATGTATAAGAGCGTTTGCCATAATTTCTTTTCTCCCACTGCTAACAGATTTAAATGAACGTTGCCTAATTTAAATGTGACTAAAAAAGGAGCAGGTAGTGTAATAACAACACTAATATGGTCTGTGCACGTTGAACAGCTTTGAAATGAAATAATGTTGTATGATAATGCTCCTTTCTTGACGTCTGAGAAACAGACACATCTGGGTCATTGATTCATCAGACTGAAAGATTTTTTTGTCCAAATGAATCAAATGTGTGTTCAAAGCTGGATTTTACCACTGACAACCCATTTTCAGGGAGGGAAGCGCACGCATACTTTCACATCGTGCATTTTCGTGCTTTGATGATCACATTATCCATGTGCATTAATATACACGGCCACCTAGTTAATTCAGTACATTGGACACATAATTAATGCTTTCAGCAGTTGGAGGAAAGGTATATCTTGTCAACTGATTATTCTGGCCCGCAATG